GAGCTCAACATTAGCTGAGCTCAAAAATTAGCTCCCAAAGCTCAAAATTAGCTCCCGAAGCTCAGATAAGCTTTCGGAGCTCAAAATTGACTTGCAGAAGAGCTCAAAATTAGCTCCCAAAGCTCAAAAATTATAGCTCCGGAGCTCAAAATTAGCTGCCAGAGCTCAAATTGGCTCCCGGAGCTCAAAATGACCTCCCAGAACTCTCTCAGAGCTCAAAATATTAATTCAAAATTAAGTCCCGGAGCTCAAAATTAGCTCCCAGAGCTAATTAGCTCCCGGAGCTCAACATTAGCTGAGCTCAAAAATTAGCTCCCAAAGCTCAAAATTAGCTCCCGAAGCTCAAATAAGCTTTCGGAGCTCAAAATTGACTTGCAGAAGAGCTCAAAATTAGCTCCCAAAGCTCAAAATTAGCTCCCGGAGCTCAAAATTACAAAATTAGCTCCCGGAGCTGAAATTAACTCCCAAAGCTCAAAATTAGCTCCCGGAGCTCAACATTAGCTCCCAAAGCTCAAAATTAGCTTCCGAACTTCAAAATTAGTTCCCGGAGCTCAAAATTAGCTCCCGGAGCTCAAAATTAGCTCCCGGAGCTCAAAATTAATTTCCGGAGCTCAAAATTAGCTCCCAGAATTCAAAATTAATTCCCAGAAGCAAAAAATTAGCTCCTTCAAAGTTAACTCCCAAGGCTCAGAATTAGCTCCCAAAGCTCAAAATTAGCTCCCAGTGCTGAAAAAATATCCGTGGCCAGGAAAAAAGGAGTTTAAGTAAATTGAGCATCCGAGCAGACAAAGGAGGTTTAAGTAAACTGCGTAGCCGTGACTAGGCAAAAGGAGACAAATAACTTGGGAAATTCATAATGATAACACATACAATTTCTATTTATTTTGTCTTGAGGGTTTAGGGTTTAGGGTTTAGGGTTTAGGGTATAATGTTGGATGTTGTTTAGTAGGGGCCGCCTCTTTAAAGTCAATCTGGCCGATTTATTCAGGATCCCCTGACTGTTTGCGGGTGCCTCTTTAAAGTCAAACGGTTCCCGAAATCCGGCAATCTTTTTTAGGATTTGGGGCTTGTTTCGGCCCAGAGGCTCCGGCTTAAAGCTGGGCCTTATGATTTTAAAGCAGGACCTTGTGAATTTTTAAAGGCCGACCTCATCCATTCCAACCGGTCCGAAACCATGCGGGTTTATCGGTGCGCCACGGGTTTATCGGGTTTATTGGTGCGCCACAGGTATAGCGGGTTCGCCACAGATTTAGCGGGTTTATCGGTGCGCCGCGGGTTTAGCGGGTTTAGCGGGTTTATCAGTGCGCCACGGGTTTAGCGAGTTTAGCGGGTTTATACGGGTTTAGCGGGTTTAGCGGGTTTAACGGGTTTATCGGTGCGCAATCCCTATTTCCGCGCGTAATGTAAATATCTATTAGCAATTTTAGTCATAAAATATGTTTATGATCTGTATGTTAATATGACCAGATTTTCTCGTCCCCAATATATGAATGTTATATTCTGCTTTAATATTTTCAGATGTTGACTCCAAGAATATAGAAAATCAAAAGATATATATATATATATTCGATTATAATATCGGAGAATATATCCAATAAATTCTTGAATATCCATCGTAAATAGCATAGATCCAGTGCAAAAGCCCTCTACCCTCAAAAATACCAATTTGAATCGTAATTTCCAGTGGATGCCACTGCACCGGATCTAGGCAAGGTCACTCGAAGCAGGACCTTGCTTAGGACACATAGATACAGCTATGGATGAACCCCTCGGACCCTGGAATGCATCCCACCTGTCAGGTGAAATCTTGTATCGTAATTTCCACGAGTAACAATGGACAACAAAAAGCAAGACACAAAATCGCACATATAAATCAAAATTGAATGAAGATACCTGCCTCAATTTGACTCATCCGCAACTCTTGATTGAAGTTTACGTGGGCACGGCATTAAAAGTCGAAGCCAAGCAGCCCAACTGTACATGAGCTGCGAAGTGTCACATACTTCGAAAAGCCTTGCGGCGCGAACCTATACCCCCCCTCCCCCTAAAACCCTAAATCCTAAACCCTAAACCCCAAACCCACCAAAACTTAAAAGATGCCTTTTGGGAAGCTCTGGAGCTCCTTGGCCTTTGGCCCCGCAGGCATCGCTGGAGCAGGACTGTCTGTTAAGCACAAGTCTCTTCCGCCCGAGGACAGCCATGTATCACAGGTGCACGCTTGTTCGACAAAAGCTTGAAACCCCAGTTTCTATGGCGCTCCAAGACTTGGCACGTGCACAGCACGTAGTCAAGCACAGCAAATTGAGCACTAAGTAAATTAGTACGGCCGACTTCAATCGCCCTTTTCAGGCTGGATGCTAGCATGTGTGGCATCTTCAGCCTCTCGGGCTGCATCAATAAGAAATTGCATATGAGTCTTCATGACCTCGCCGAACCATCGCAGCATCACGTCCGTCACGTGCTGGTTGACATGATCAAAGCCCACCGTTGTCTGAATCAACATCTTCACTTTGAGTTCGTCTTCTGGTTTCCAAGCGTTGGCTTGTTGCGAATCCACCTCGCTGAGAGACCTTGTGATCTCCTCGATACCGGTCTTGCCCAAGTGAACCTGCTGGTACAAATGTTCTGTAGCAGCTGCCGGCATCGTAAAGGTGACAGGGATATGTATCTTGGAAGCTACAAACTGCTCGTACACTGTCCAAATTCTAGACAAATAGACGGGCTGTTGCCATGAGTCCAAAATAGCCACCATCTGCCCTACGCGAGTCAGGTTGGACTCAAATACCTCTTCCAGATTGTCGCTGCCAGCAGCTGTCTCCTCCACGATAATCCTGTATTGATTATTCACAAAAAAGCACATGAAGAAGAATACGCTGTCCCGGCAATCTGTGGGAGAGCTGGCTCGGTACATGTCCAAAGCACTACTGATCTGCGTGAGGCTGTACCGCCACGTCCTTCAGGGAGGGAGCTTTCGACGTTCTGCTAGAATATGGTCGGCACGCATCTAAGCCTCCCCGTAAAGCCCCATCATACTCCTTCATAAAGCTTATTCGCCATGTCAGGATTACTGTAGCATCTCTAGTAACTCTAGTACCCAGTTGGGCTGAGATTGGAGACCCATGTCGTGGACGTTGTGGAAATGGCTTATCATGCATCCCCTTAGAGTAGAGTGTCGACATGATTTTCGAGGCCGTCCAAGACATGAAGTGGGTCTGCTCGCGGCGAGCATAGCGAGGGATCCAGTCCACCAAAGCACAGCCTGGACGACCATCGCGGGGGCAGCACATACTCTCACCGATCGGATCCGCAGCCAACCAAAAGGCTGTTTTCATGTCGATAAATGTTGGGTCTTCCATTCCAGTGCGCTTCCTCGCCAGGTCAGCAAACTCGTCCGAGAGGAGGTAGCCCATGCTGACGCCGGCAATGTTGCTTTGCAAAGCGCGCATCTGGGCTGCTCGGCCCTCTGCCACGAGCGCATCGACGCCAAGGGTTTTGAGCATCCCAACATAACGGCTGACGGTGCTTGGCTCTTCGTCCCACAAGTCGATGTAGAGCTCGCCGAAGAGTTGCTCCACTTTGGCTGCCCTGCTCGATTGCCTGCGCACAGCCATCAGCTTCAGAAGCACCAGGAAGCCAGCGACACCGAGAGCTATGAGCGGCAAGTGCCACCAAATACATTCATCCTCGAAAAGTATGCGAGGGAAGCCACATGCAAGACATATGTCCGAGCCTTCGTGGGTGTAATGGAAAGCAGGGCATGGCACACAGATGCTCCGGTTTTCCGAAGGCACCCAGGCTGGGCTGCAGAACTCGCAGTGCGATGCGCCAGCCTCTGCAAATCCGGTCGGGCAAGCAGTGCAGCCCAGCTTGTTGCTGGCAGGGAAGGTGCCTCCCAGACAAGGTGGAGCATTAAAACGGTCAGCCCCAGTGAACATATCTCCCAACCAGGTTGCTTTCGAGGTGTTCCATGACTCGAGGCTCTGGTTGAAAGCTTTGGCATTCACAAACATTCCCGTCATATCTGTGACAGAGGATGTATCCCACGAGGCAAGGGGTTGGTTGAAGGCCGCTGCGCCATCGAACATATGTTGCATGTTCGCGACGGCCGAAGTCTCCCAGGATCCGATTGCCTGGTTGAAGGATATTGCGTCACTTAACATCCAGCCCATGTCATTGACAGACGATGTGTTCCACTTGCCGATGGCTTGGTTGAAATGCTCTGCATTGCGTAACATTGAGTTCATACTTTCTACTGCTGATGTGTCCCATGAGCCGATAGCCTGATTGAAAGCTTTCGCATTCATAAACATATAGCTTGTGTCGGTGACAGCGGACGTATTCCACCGGCCGATGGCCTGGTTGAAAGCATTCGCGCCATCGAACATGCCCTGCATGTTTGTTGCAGCTGATGTGTCCCATGAGCCGATGGCCTGGTTGAAGACTTCGGCGCCTTCAAACATGAAGCTCATATCGGTAACAGCTGATGTTTCCCATGAGCCGATGGCCTGATTGAAAGCTTTCGAAACATAAAACATCCGCTGCATGGTTGTCACAGCTGACACATTCCATGAGCCAATGGGCTGGTTGAAGGCTTCGGCATTTGCAAACATGTCGTGCATATCTTTCACGGACGACGTGTCCCAGGAGCCAAGGGCTTGGTTGAAGTTTCCGGCAAGCAAAAACATCTGGCCCATGTCTGTCACACCAGACGTGTTCCAGTGGCCAAGGGCTTGGTTGAAGGCTCTGGCATACGAAAACATGTCCTTCATGTCCGTCACTGCCGAGGTATTCCATGAGTCAAGTTGCTGGTTGAAAGACTCAGCCCCGTCAAACATGAAGCTCATATCAGTCACAGCGGATGTGTCCCAGGAGTCAAGAGGTTGATCAAACACACGGGCGCGTCGGAATATGGCTTGCATGTTTGTCACTGCTGATGTATCCCATGCACCGACTGCTTGATTGAAATGTGCTGCCCCCGAAAACATGCTGGACATGTCTCTGACAGCGGATGTGTTCCATGAGCCGATAGCTTGGTTGAACGCATGGTAACCAGTATAAGCGGCAAACATCCAGCTCATGCTTGTAACAGATGAGGTGTCCCATGCACCAATTGCCTGGTTGAAAGCACTGGCACCGTAGAACATTGCAAACATGCTGGTCACTGCAGACGTATCCCAGAAGCCGATGGCCTGGTCAAAAGCATAAGCCCCAGCAAACATGGAGCTCATATTTGTGACCGATGACGTATCCCACGTGCCGATTGCTTGGTTGAAAGATGTGGCACCCGAAAACATGTAAGACATATCCGTCACCGCAGATGTAGTCCACGTGCCAATGGGCTTGTTGAAGGCCGTAGCACCAGAAAACATGCCACTCATGTTTACCACGGCTGATGTGTTCCACAGCCGGATGTCCTGGTTGAAGCCGCTCATGTTTGCAAATAGGCCACTCATGTCGGTCACACCCGACACGTCCCAGCGCGCTATGCTTCCGTAAGTTGATTCAAGCTCTGCTCTGGTAGCAGTCCTGGCTGTGTCCCAGTGACGAACTGCAGCTTTGAGCTCGGATCTGTTGCTGAAGCTGCGGTAGCACCAGCATGGTATTAGGCATTGCGCAAGGATCGCGAAGACTCGGGACGTGAGCATCTTGTGTGCCCCCGCACGGCCGCACGGAGTACCTCCTAAGCGGACAAAAAGCGACAGCAGAGATGACGAGTCAGTTCTGTGCCCAAGGACAGCCACCGCAGAATTCACATGAGTCTCGCAAATCGGGATGTTCCTTTTCGGCCTTGGCAAAGTGATTCACCGTGACGTACCTTCCTTCGCACTGTACATGTATGACAGTCTGAGCCATGTGTCGCTCCGCGCGCAGCTCTACAGGCTGCAGAAAATTGAAGTTGCTGAGTGGCTGGTTGCACCCAGAATTTCCTCGCCGACCTTGTGCCGACTGCCTTCAAACCCGTTTTCTGCTGTGCTTGCCGACGTCAACATGATACCGACATCAGTTCATTCCAACGCCTGTTGAAAATGCAAATGACTTAGAGTAATAAAGTTGCAGATTCGGTGTTCTCATGGCCCGATAGCGGGAGTGGTGTGTCCCAGGAAGAGGCCAGGACACCTTGCACCGCGTGTACAGTGTATCTAGCATCTAGAGGACGAACATGGTGTGGAATGATCTGTTCTCTGACCTTTCGGGTGTTCCGATGAAACACTAGCTATAGCCATGAGACGATGCCGTCGTCTAAGCACAGAGAACAACGCGAAAGAAGTGCGAAAAAAAACAACTTGCAAGTTGGAGGCTTGTGAGAGGGCCGTTGGCTCGTTCGATGTGCAACTTTGATCTGACTTGTAACTCTGCTACTGAGGCTGCGGCTGTGGACCAATTTGCACTTCTAGTACCAAACCCACGTTCGCATGCGTTCATAAATTTCAATCTCGGGGCTGTAACCTAAAACACAGTACCAGGGCCTGGGCGAGTAATAAGGGACACACTTGATCAGCTGCGTCTCCCGGCAGAAGCCGAATACAGACCAGGAAGGTACACTGGGATTAGCAGAAATTTGAGGGGAACAGATAACCAACGTGTCACAAGCAAATACCCAAGTGAGGGAGGGGGAAATGCCAGCTCGGCCGCGAAAGGTAGCACCTTCAACAGCTGCGAGAAATGGCAACCACATGTGACACAGAGCCAGGAAGAAGCGCCGCAACCGCATAGCAACGTGACTGGATTTGCAGCAGGTAAAGGGAAATCGAACAAAAGAACAGAGAGAGAGAGCGGAATTTTAACAATGGCGAGGGTGCCCGTCGGTAACCGCCTTCTTGCCGCCCGCTCAAAGCTACAGTTTCTGGACACGCGGCCCAAAGGCAGCACCTTGAAGCTGGATCAGGGGACACGACGAAAAAACACAACACTTGCGAAGCCGAAGCCATGAAAAGCGACATCATGGGGGGGGGGTACGGAAATGAGCCGAACCTGCAAAGGACAATGAGCAACTCAGCTGTTAACTTTGAGAGGGGTTCTGTGAACCTTCTCAACCCTAAACCCTAAACCCTAAACCCTAAACCCTAAACCTAAACCCTAAACCCTAAGGTCTTTGCTCCGAAGGTCTTGGACGGCTTGCAACTGCCTGTCGAGCTCAACGACCTCCTGCTCGGCTCGCCCCAACTCTCAGAGGAAGTCCCAGCACCAATTCCAGTTTCCGCACAGAAAGCTTTATAGGGTTTAGGGTTTAGGGTTTAGGGTAATTCCAGTATCCATGCAGAAATCTTGGGAAAAGTGGCTTCGGCTACGTGCGTTACATCGGAGCTAGGGGAAGCAGTAATTTAAGAATCCTGGATGGCGCAGTTCTTCCCCAATGAAGCTGTACACGCACACACGCAGCGCGCAACTCATGCTCTGCAATCTACCCTAAACCCTACAACCCTCAACCCTAGACCCCTCAACCCTAAACCCTAAAACCCTAGCCGGTCGAAGCCATACGAGTCCACACGAAACTTCAACCACCCTGTGCCCTACAAGCAGGACCTACGAAACCTTGTTTGGCAGCCTTTTTGGTCTTGGCTGTGTCGATGAGTCCTTGCAGATGATTCTTCATGACCTCGCCGAACCATCGCAGCATCACGTCTGTCACGTGCTTGTTGACATGCTCAAAGCCCACCGTTGTCTGAATCAACGTCTTCACTTTGAGTTCGTCTTCTGGTTTCCAAGCTTTGGCTTGTTGCGAATCCACCCGGCCGAGAGACCTTGTGATCTCCTCGATACCGGTCTTGCCCAAGTGAACCTGCTGGTACAAATGTTCTGTAGCAGCTGCCGGCATCGTAAAGGTGACAGGGATATGTATCTTGGAAGCTACAAACTGCTCGTACACTGTCCAAATTCTAGACAAATAGACGGGCTGTTGCCATGAGTCCAAAATAGCCACCATCTGCCCTACGCGAGTCAGGTTGGACTCAAATACCTCTTCCAGATTGTCGCTGCCAGCAGCTGTCTCCTCCACGATAATCCTGTATTGATTATTCACAAAAAAGCACATGAAGAAGAATACGCTGTCCCGGCAATCTGTGGGAGAGCTGGCTCGGTACATGTCCAAAGCACTGCTGATCTGCGTGAGGCTGTACCGCCACGTCCTTCAGGGAGGGAGCTTTCGACGTTCTGCTAGAATATGGTCGGCACACATCTAAGCCTCCCCGTAAAGCCCCATCATACTCCTTCATAAAGCTTATTCGCCATGTCAGGATTACTGTAGCATCTCTAGTAACTCTAGTACCCAGTTGGGCTGAGATTGGAGACCCATGTCGTGGACGTTGTGGAAATGGCTTATCATGCATCCCCTTAGAGTAGAGTGTCGACATGATTTTCGAGGCCGTCCAAGACATGAAGTGGGTCTGCTCGCGGCGAGCATAGCGAGGGATCCAGTCCACCAAAGCACAGCCTGGACGACCATCGCGGGGGCAGCACATACTCTCACCGATCGGATCCGCAGCCAACCAAAAGGCTGTTTTCATGTCGATAAATGTTGGGTCTTCCATTCCAGTGCGCTTCCTCGCCAGGTCAGCAAACTCGTTCGAGAGGAGGTAGCCCATGCTGACGCCGGCAATGTTGCTTTGCAAAGCGCGCATCTGGGCTGCTCGGCCCTCTGCCACGAGCGCATCGACGCCAAGGGTTTTGAGCATCCCAACATAACGGCTGACGGTGCTTAGCTCTTCGTCCCACAAGTCGATGTAGAGCTCGCCGAAGAGTTGCTCCACTTTGGCCGCCCTGCTCGATTGCCTGCGCACGGCCATCAGCTTCAGAAGCACCAGGAAGCCAGCGGCACCGAGAGCTATGAGCGGCAAGTGCCACCAAATACATTCATCCTCGAAAAGTACGCGAGGGAAGCCACATGCAAGACATATGTCCGAGCCTTCGTGGGTGTAATGGAAAGGAGGGCATGGCACACAGATGCTCCGGTTTTCCGAAGGCACCCAGGATGGGCTGCAGAACTCGCAGTGCGATGCGCCAGCCTCTGCAAATCCGGTCGGGCAAGCAGTGCAGCCCAGCTTGTTGCTGGCAGGGAAGGTGCCTCCCAGACAAGGTGGGGCATTAAAACGGTCAGCCCCAGTGAACATATCTCCCAACCAGGTTGCTTTCGAGGTGTTCCATGACTCGAGGCTCTGGTTGAAAGCTTTGGCATTCACAAACATTCCCGTCATATCTGTGACAGAGGATGTATCCCACGAGGCAAGGGGTTGGTTGAAGGCCGCTGCGCCATCGAACATATGTTGCATGTTCGCGACGGCCGAAGTCTCCCAGGACCCGATTGCCTGGTTGAAGTCTTTGGCACGTTGGAACATGACGGACATGTCAGTCACAGCAGACGTGTCCCATGAGCCAATATCTTGATTGAATCTTGACCCGCTACCATATATGGTATTGAACATGCCGCTCATCGTCGAAACTGCTGACGTATCCCACTCTCCTATGGCCTGGTTGAAAGCCAAGGCGGAGCAAAACAACAAGGCCATGTCCACCACAGATGACGTGTCCCAAGAACCGATGGCCTGATTGAAGGCGGTTGCTTGGAAAAACATTGAGTTCATGCTTATCACCGATGATGTGTCCCATGATCCGATTGGCTGGTTGAAGGCAGTAGCAAGGTAAAACATGGAGGACATGTCAACCACACCGGAGGTATTCCACGAGCCGATTTCTTGGTTGAATGCGGCAGAGCCGTAGAACATGAGGCTCATATCTGTCACAGATGACGTATCCCATGAGCCAATGGCTTGATTGAACTGGCTTGCCTGAAAAAACATAGACCTCATGGTTCTTACGGACGACGTGTTCCATGAGCCAATTGCCTGATTGAAGGCTGATGCGTAGTTAAACATCCTGGACATAGTAGTCACTGCAGACGTATCCCACGAGTCGATGGGCTGATTGAAGGCCCCGGCGTTTGAAAACATGGAACTCATGTCAGTCACACTTGACGTGTCCCACAAGCCAATGGCGTTGTTAAACCTGCTCGCGAATTCGAACATCTTACTCATGTCTGTGACCGCTGACGTGTCCCATGCGCCGATTGCCTGACTGAACGATGGAGCACTAGTAAACATGGAGGACATGTTCTTGACAGCGGAAGTATCCCATAAACCAATGTTCTGGTCAAAGGCATCAGCCCAAGCAAACATGTAGCTCATGTTTGTGACCGATGACGTATCCCACGTGCCGATGGCTTGGTTGAAGGCTGTGGCACCATAGAACATGCAGGACATATCTGTCACCGCAGTTGTAGTCCACGTGCCAATGGGCTGATTGAAGACGAGGGCGCGGAAGAACATGAAAGACATATCAGCCGATGCGGATGTATCCCACGAATCGATGGCCTGATTGAAAGCTTCTGCTTCACCAAACATGTACTTCATATTTGCCACGGCTGATGTATCCCATGCGCCAATTGCCTGGTTGAAAGCTTTAGCACTGTAAAACATGGAGGATGTATCACCCACTGCAGACAGATCCCATGAACCAATGTTCTGGTCAAACGCATAAGCCCAGGCAAACATGTAGCTCATGTCTGTGACCGATGACGTATCCCACGTACCGATGGCTTGGTTGAAGGATGCGGCACCTGAAAACATGTAGGACATATCTGTCACCGCAGATGTAGTCCACGTGCCAATGGGCTGATTGAAGACAAGCGCGTGGAAAAACATGAAAGACATATCAGTCGATGCGGATGTATCCCACGAATCGATGGCCTGATTGAAAGCCTCTGCTTCACCAAACATGTACTTCATATTTGCCACGGCTGATGTATCCCATGCGCCAATTGCCTGGTTGAAAGCTTTAGCACTGTAAAACATGGAGGATGTATCACCCACTGCAGACAGATCCCATGAACCAATGTTCTGGTCAAACGCATAAGCCCAGGCAAACATGTAGCTCATGTCTGTGACCGATGACGTATCCCACGTACCGATGGCTTGGTTGAAGGATGCGGCACCTGAAAACATGTAGGACATATCTGTCACCGCAGATGTAGTCCACGTGCCAATGGGCTTGTTGAAGGCCGTAGCACCAGAAAACATGCCGCTCATGTTTACCACGGCTGATGTGTTCCACAGCCGGATGTCCTGGTTGAAGCCGCTCATGTTGGCAAATAGGCCACTCATGTCGGTCACACCCGACACGTCCCAGCGCGCTATGCTTCCGTAAGTTGATTCAAGCTCTGCTCTGGTAGCAGTCCTGGCTGTGTCCCAGTGACGAACTGCAGCTTTGAGCTCGGATCTGTTGCTGAAGCTGCGGTAGCACCAGCATGGTATTAGGCATTGCGCAAGGATCGCGAAGACTCGGGACGTGAGCATCTTGTGTGCCCCCGCACGGAGTACCTCCTAAGCGGACAAAAAGCGACAGCAGAGATGACGAGTCAGTTCTGTGCCCAGACAGGGGCCAAGAGGACAGTTCGCAACGAGCCTCTTTCGTGTTTAGCCCAAGATGTGGACACTCTTTCCCGGCTATCTGCAACATCCTCAAAAAACAAGACTCGAGGGATGTGGAAAGCAGCCGAGGCAGCCGAGGGTCTGTGGGTCTTTTGCAAGCTTGTGCAAGAGCAGTTCTTCAGCTCCCCTTGGGGGCTACAACTCCCTTGAAACACCCAGGCTGGCAATCTAGCTGCAGCAGAGTCGGCAAACCGAACCCGAAATGCTTCGGCTTAAACTGCACATGCCCCTAAACTCTAAACCCTACACCCTAAACCCTAAACCACTTGAGCCCGGGCCGGGCATAGCAGAAAGCCCCGCCTGTTGGTACCAAAAACGGCTTGGGATGACAGTCCTACCGGCGGCCGCTACATCGCGGCCCTCACACCTTCGCATCCTCGTGATCCTCATAGGGATATGCTCTCACACTTTGATGCTCTCATGTGGCACAGGCTCCATACCAAAGTCGAAGGACAATCCCTGGCACAAGCTGCACAAGGGAAATCGAATCCTAACGATATCAATGCGTTGGCCAAGGAAAATTTATGCATAACCGGGGCAGGCGGTCCAGAGATGGTGCCACCAAAGACTACACAAGCAAACCAGTTCATGTTTTCAGCACAGGCTGCCAACATGCATACAATGCAAGTTGCACAAATAGTCGCACATTATGTTCCAGGTACTTTGTTCGGAACAGCTGGCATTTGTCACCTGGTCCCAAGAATAAGATTCATCAACTTCCCGAATAGGGAAAACAAGCCCGAAGTAGTCTCCTCCATAGTTATGAAGATACTTGTTCCTGGTGAATTTGTTGGGCGCTCTGAAACATGTCGCGCCTGGTTGCGAGAGACTTCTCTGTCGTGCTACTCAGAAAAACTTCTAGCTGGACGGATCATGTTACATCGCGTCACAGCTGGCTGCCAGATCATTTTGTGTTACGTGTTGTGTTGCGTAGCAACTCTTTTGCTCCAACTCGGCATTTCAAAGAAAAACAGTCACGGGGCTGGCAAAAACGACGAGCCTCCGAGAAGGTGCGTGATGCATGGGTCGCTGTTCTGCAAGGCCAGCCAAGGCCATCAAATGCATTGCATGACCTGGGTTTAGAGTTTAGGGTTCAGGGTTGAGGGGTGTTTGTTGGTGTTGTGACTGCTTGCCGCGCAAGCATGCTGGCGGGTTTTCAGACTTCTCCACAACATGTGACCGTACCAGGCCTGTCAGGCGTTGTTGAAGAGAAGCGCAGCAGCTGGTGCAGCTGCTGCAACTGCAAAAGCTGCTGCTGCTGCTGCGGCGGCGGCGGCGGCGGCGGCAGCGGCTGCTGCTGCTGCCGCCGCTGCTGCTGCTGATGCTGCTGCTGCTGATGATCAGTAGCTTGTCTCTGTTGAGCGTAGGGCTGGTTTCAGATGAAGATGTAGCTGACAACAATCGACATGAACAATTGCTGCCTCATAGCCATGCACAAACAGAGGGCGGGGGCGAGGGCGGGGGCGAGGGCGGGGGAGACAAAGAGTCAGGGACGAACCAGCAAACCCGGCATTCAAGCACGACAGACATGTTCTGCTTGTTTGCTTGTTCCCAGACTTTAGTAAAGCACATATTGAACGCTGCTGAGAAGGCGCACGCTTCGCTTTTCCTTCATTCTGACATGACGAAGATACCAAGATGCTCCCCTATTGAAAACCCCTTATAGACTCCACCCGCTACCTAGAATGTATCTATGATCTGAAGTACCGATAGTGGGGGCAAGGAAATCCTCAGCACTTTCTGCCGAAGTTACTTCTTTTTGACTCCATGCCCAGATCTCACAGAACCCCTAGGCCAAGATTGAGGGAACCTTTGGGGTTTAGGGCCCTAGACGGCTCCAAGTATGCGATTTTTGTAGAATGTCCGTCTAATGTCTAAAATTGGAGTTTCGAGAACAACATTCTTTGATTAAGCAGTTGCGGAAGATCTGGGATATAAATTGCCGCGATCCGAAGTTAAAACCGGCTCCGTCTTGCTGAGCTATGACAGGCTGGAGCCTTTCGCACCAGAGCCTTGGGAAGATTTCGCACTGCGCAGCTACAAAGAAAAGTGTTCGCGCAGGCGCAGCAACTGCGTCTCTCCGGCACTGAACTGGGAGGCAGTGTTGTCGTTGACTCCCCAAAGCGTCAGGTTGCCGGTCTCACCGGTAATGGCCAAGCTATTAAAGTACCGCACCACGGGGATTCGCAGATCCTTACTTGGAGGTTCAGGGTACTTCATAATGTACATACACCGCAATTATAACCATATTAGGGCGCTTGAGGGGCGTATAAGTGGGTTGCAAGTACAGTAACGATTGGTCAGTAAGTACCTTGAACCTTCAAGTAACCGTTCTTAGGAACCTAGATAACTGGAGTGCTTGCCCTTGAGAATACTAAGCAAGCAAATCTACACAAAACGTTTCCAAAGCCAACGCAAGATCTATCAACTCGGGCATGAAATCCATCACCAGGGCCTGCAGGAGAAGCAGTGGTCTGTCTTGGAAGTTGTTTTTGTAGCTTTCCGGAAGACTGTAATGTAGTTTTTTTTGGGTGGTCTACTGGAATCCTTAATGGCAAAAACCCTTAATGGAAAAAACCCAGAACGGACCCCAAAAGGAAGGGGAGCATGATAGCAAGTGTTTCTACAAGAAGGCTTTCTGGGGACCCGGGACCCTCCTAAATAGAGAGCCCTGGTCCCTCCTAGGCCAAGGTCCTGGGTTCCCAAATCCCCAAGTTTTGAGGACCCAGAGCCTCAGAGTTGTTTCACCTGGCGCCCAGACACCCATGTAAAAACAGCTGTTCCCGAAGCAACCATTCTCTACATTAGCGACCTGAACCGTGTGGGAATGGGGTTTAGGGTTTAGGGTTTAGGGTTTAGGGTTTAGGGTTTAGGGTTTAGGGTTTAGGGTTTAGGGTTTAGGGTTTAGGGTTTAGGGTTTAGGGTTTAGGGTTTAGGGTTTAGGGTTTCAACCAATGCAAAACTTGTGCTTGGGCATCTCGGTCCTTACTCTCAAGCGGCAAGCGTCTGAAAAAAACCTAACGCCCTAACCCTATACGGGGGTGCCCGAAATAGGGGTAGCCATTTAGTTAGCAGAAACCCTTGCCCATTTTGGGTAATAATACCACCGGTCAACCCATTCGACGATTATTCCTCTACCCCCCCCCCCCCTACACCTCACCAACTAATCACTACTACTACCCCATTACCAATACCAGTATAGGAATGACCGATTACCTCATCCATATAAGACGATTATTCCTATACTCCCTACTACACCCCACCCAATATATCACAACGACTTCCCCATTACCAAGACCAGTATAGGAATAACCAATTACCCCATCCATATCCCCTAAGGTGGTATTATCATCCCAAAAAACCCCTATTTTCGGAAATCCACATATTTTAGTTTCATTACTGCAAGGGGGGTCGGGTGCCGGGATTCTCGGTCAGGGGCCTTGTTAGAGATGGACTCGTTCCCCAGCTCGGCCGTGTAGATCCGACGGTTTCCAGCCTCAAAGCCACCTGACTGGCGCCGTCTGTTTTTCTTTCCCCTAAAATGGTTTAAGGGTCCTTTGGGACATCAGCGAGGCCGATATCAGGACTATCAGACTGTTGGGCTTCTGGGGTAGGAACATGTAGAAACCCTAACCCTAAACCCTAAACCCTAAACCCTAAACCCTAAACCCTGTAAACAAAGGCAATGGCCTCTGTCATCCTTCTCCAGGAACAGGAAGATGCCATTTCCGAGTGCAACGACGTCTCGCAAGTACACTGTGGATGAGCTCTGCGACGCCGGGTCATCCAGGGTATAGTTGAAGTAGTTTAGGCCGCAGGTGGGTGAGAGATCACAAATTTGCCTGATTCATGCTTGGGATGGTATGAAAAAATTACAGGTTCTCTTCCTTATTGGGTTTAAGTACCCTTAAATAACCCTAAACCCTAAACCCTAAACCCCAAACCCTAAACCCAACTATGACAAAGCTGCACCATGCCGTAGGAGCCCGTGATCACCAAGCCCAAGGAGGAGTCGTAGGCCACACCAGACACATACTCACCATTCCTCGAAATCTGCACCTCAACAGAACCTAGGATGGCCTTTAGTGTTTAGGGTTTAGGGTGTAAAACCCTCGGAAAAAATATTCCTGAAGATGACCCTCTTCGACCCAATAAGGGAAAGTACAAAATGTCTCAAAAGTCTACCAAGGTACTCTGGATGACACCGTCTTCATCGAGTAGATGGAGGACGTAGCCTTGGGGCTCAAGGCTCAACACCGCGAAGCCACCCGGGATTAGCTCGATGGCCTCGGGATCAAAGTCCTCCGGCGAACCTGGTTGTGGTTGGCGCTGAACCCTCTGAAACTTCTTTACGAGTAGGTCCTTCTTCCAGTACGTAGGGGGAAATCTAAAAGTATCCCAAAGCTCTACCCAGAAGCTGCCATTTTGGTAGGTGACTTGGATATCATCCGTGATCAGGGCAGGATGAGCATGGCTGTCAATGACGAGAATTCGGGGCTGCGCGAACCTTTCACTTTCGATTGCGTAGAGGGTGCCATCCGTGTCTCCCGCCAGTCCGGCCAATGAACCCCAAGGTATGGGCAAGCCCTCTTCACTGTCCCTTGATTCCAGGAAGGGGTACTGTCGGCCACACGCTGAGCCTAGACTCCCCTTAGAACCTTCATAACAATCAAGGTTTTAATATCCTCTTAAGGGTTTTATATAAACCACAATACAAAATGATTCCCAAAAAGGGGTATTTTAATATCCTCTTGGGTTTACATAAACAACAATACAAAATGATTCCCAAAAAGGGGATGCAGAAGCAGTGGTAGATGTGTAGGCCGACCTGTAAGTCGTAGAAGGTCCTTCCCTGGGCCGAACTTGACACGAAGAGCCCGCGGCTTGGAATGGCCTTGCTCACCTGACTTCTCCAATAACCAAGGGAGGAAAAGGTTAAACCCTATTTTCCCTACTAAAAGGTTTAGGGATTAGGGTTTAGGGTTAAATAAGGCAACCCAGAAAGTTTAAAGTTCAGCTGTTGGAGAAGTAAGTCACATCAGGCGTGACCGTCCCTGGAAGCGCCTGCAGGAAAGAAGGTTGGGTCGGATCCGAAACCTCGAAGACGAAAGTGAGGTGCGGCGTCTTCGCGGAAATGAAAAGCCTTGGAGGTTGCAGATTCGGGTTTAGGGTTTGAGGTTTCTTTGTAGCCCTGGCACATCACATAAAACTGCAGCACAAAACTACACTGAATCAGAAGTCTGAGCGATTAATCCCTGATGAAGCCGGACCAGGACCTGTTTCAGCTGACAACCATGAGCCCAATGGGTTTTTGGTTTGGGTACTGCCGCGACCCCTTCATAGGGATTCTAGTAGAGCCTTACTTAATTGCAACTAAACTCTATCTAACTGGTTCAGAGTGGGGCAGTATCCAAGGTAAAGTAGATAGACTAAGGTAAGCAGATTATAGCAAGCCTTTTCGTCCAAGTTGTAGTTCCTCTCTCTGGCCCGAGTATGTAGTATTCCTTAGGACCTTACTGTGTCAGAGGAACAAGAAGAAGTGGGGCTCAAACGTAGTGCTCCGATCTTGCAGTCAGGCACATACCATACCAGTGATACAACTTAATTCGCAAGCCTTGGGGTGTGCCCCCTTGTACTAACAGTCCTGAATAGGCATTTTCACAGGGGGCACCATCATCCCTACTAAGGACTGGTGGTAGAAGGGGGAACATCCCAACTTAAGCCCTCCATCCTGAAACCACAGCTCTAAAACATGGCCAAAGCAGCATCTTGCAATCACCAAAGTCGCCAAATGAGAGGAAGGTGGGCTCTGTGCCATAACGATCGGAATCCAGATCGTTGTAGTGCCCAAGCCTGACCTCGTTAGGGTTTAGGGTTTAGGGTTTAGGGTTTGTGGTTTAGGGTTTAGGGTTTAGGGCATAGAACCCAGTGGTAAGATAAAGACATAGTTTGAAGATGTGTCTGAGATTTTTGAAGATGAATGGCGTTGAGTCTCGCAAGCTGGGGAGTGGATGGGAGAACATTGTCCGTAGCGTACGTGGGAATGGACACTACACCATCTCCGTTAAGAGAAGGGTAAGGAAACTCCAAGGAAGCATTGCGAGGAGAAACAATCGACGGCCCCCCTAAAGGTGAACGAACATCTGGCAGATATCATGGCCTTTTTGCAAGGGGACTCTCATTGAACAAGACCTACCGTATTGGCAAGGAAAAGAGCCCAGGGACTTTAAACGAAGCCGTTCTTGCAGCTTGAGGCAACAAGGAGTATAGGAAGGTTAGCTAGCTGACCCCCCCCCCCTGAATTTTGGGTCAGGGTTTAGGGTTTAGGGTTTAGGGTTTAGGGTTTAGGGTTTAGGGTTTAGGGTTTAGGGTTTAGGGTTTAGGGTTTAGGGTTTAGGGTTTAGGGTACTTGGGGTGGAAACCTATCAGACCACCTTTCTGGTACCCTCAGCACGTCGGATCACGAAATTCACTAGGGGAAGGGGGGGAGGGACAGGTTCGCAACAGGTCTGAAAAGCCAAGCCAAGGGAAGTTCATGTGCGTATGTTGGGTAAGGATCATAAAAAGTCCTTACTATAACTGCAACCAATTCTCTTATAACTGCTAATGAGTATCCCATGTGTATGTGTTTAGATAAAGGTCGTCTCAAGTGATACTTCCTGATCATTTGGGGTCAGAATAGGAACATTCATTTAGGCATATGCCCCGTTTGCACGGGAGTGATGATTGTGGCTGAAAGCGCTGACAAGCAGCAGAAAGATGTTCCAGCAGGTTACCCGAGGTAAAGACGACGGCACCGCTGATGTCAAAGATGGTGAAGGAGCGGGTCCCACCTGGCTCAAGGGTGCCCTTAATTTGAAGACCCTACTATATATAACAAGGGCACATAGTTGGAATCCCTATACTCCTGAAAGATGGAACATGATCTTAAGTGCAATTAGAGCTGTCATCCCCTTTCGTATACCTTTTGGGGACTCCATAATGTTGGAACATGGTTTAAGGACGAGTAGTGACGGGGTTCCCTTTAGTAACCCTTCTGGGGGTATGAGGAGAATGATGCTCCAGTTTATGGGATCTCCTGAAAAGGATGTTCCCACTTTTTGGAGTTTGCTGTTTACTCTACGGTCGGTCACACGGAGGGTTCCGGTATACTTTTGGACCCTGAGCCCTAAACCCTGGATCTTCATACTGCCACAGCGGTCAAAAAAAGTCACTCCAGGTTTAAAGGTCTATGAAGATGGCTGCCATCACCAGGAAGTTACCATTCTAGTACGATGGAAACTACACTCTACTTCAATGTTCTACAATCTACAATGCAATATTCAGACTAGTCACTAGGATACAAAAAAACTGTACATACCCGAAACCCCAAACCCTGAATCGTCGATAACTATTTAGACTGAAAACATATTGTGTACAAGGGATGCTCACTCTGCACGAAAATAAGCCCTAAACCCTAAACCCTAATGGTCCGGCCTAGGTCGGACCCCCCGTCCGCGGTGGCAAAGAAGTCAGAGTCCTCACCCAGTTGAGGGAGTTCAAGCTTTGGGGAGACAAGGGTTCAGTACAACCATTCTTATTGCTGCTCGTAGAACAAATCATGTGGGCATTTCCCAACACATGGGTACCCCCTATACCCCAAATAGAGTAGAATCCCCTTGAAAGGAGCCCCCAAAAAGGGTACCCCCATTTTCGGAGACCCTCGTACTACTATTCTTGTTATGATTGCTACGAGCTAGTTGTATGATTGTTATTCAAATTCGTACTACTTGGAACGACTATGAGAAGAGCTACTATTGCTCCTCTTAGCATTGGTATGACTACGAAAACTGTCATTCTTACAACTCTTATCAGAAGTCTTAATGCTACTGCTACTCGTAAGTAGTGCTACGATGTGCATGGCAGCGCATACCATTGGTATACTCTTGGCGTCTCTATTGGTATTACCCATAGTGCTACTATTACTCTGACTCAAGGTCCTTGTAAAGAAGGGACCATTGGATTCTTTGAAAAGGGGATCCTATACCACTATAACTATTCGTGTTACCATTAAGTGTTACTCCTACTCTGGGAGCTACCATTACTATAACTACTAGTGTTACGCGCCAACCCCTAGGTTTGCCCACGCCAAGGCCAGCATGGGCACGGGCAAACCTAGGGGCAGACGCAGCACACGGTTGATTTTATAATCCGAGTCTTCAGTGCCTAAATCTTAAATCGTTTTGCACAGCCTTGTCTGAGCGCGACTAAACCGTGAGCCCTACACCCTAAACCCTACCCTAAACAGCCACAGACTTTTCCCACCCGCCCCCCTTCGCGCCCCGTGCAAACACAATGTTCGTATGAAGTAGGGTTTTTGGGAGTGGGGGAGCGAGGAGACAGGAACAAGAGGAGAGGGAAGGGCAGGCTGAGCGCGAGCGGTGCCGCCGCAGGGCAAAGGGGAGGGATGACATGCACGGGTGCCACCCCCAAATCCAGAACAACGTAACCCCAATCCCAGAAAAAGCATGCCCAAACAGTGTCTGACTTGAGGCTTTACGGTTAAGGTCCCAGGGCTTAGCTCTGATAGGGAAGAAATGACCCCAAACCCACAGCCTAACGCAGCACAGCGCCCATCCCTCGACCCAATCCCGCACCCAAAAACAGTGCAACATGCACCACTGGGAGGTTCATGGTACTTATTAACCAAATAACAACTGTACTGATAACCCAATTATAACCATATGTGGGCCCTTATGGGGCTTATAAGTACCATGAACCTCCAAGCACTCTGACTCCTCGCCCAACCAGACCACACCACCCGGCTCACGGCTTAGATTGCTCAGGCTGGAGTTCAGCGTGATGAGATCGTCGTGCACCTCAGCGAACCGTTTTTAGGGTTTAGGTTTAGGGTTGAGGGTTTCGGGAGGAAAGTAAAAGTACTCGTACTAGCAGTGTAGTATGTGGTACTATTACAAGTACTGCTTCTCGTACTGGTACCCGCGCTAATTCCGTTACGAGCAGTAGTAGCAGTAGCAGTGGCAGTAGCAGTGGCAGTAGCAGGACGAGCAGGACGAGCAGGCGGAAGATGAGGAAGCAGCAGCAGCAGCAGCAGCAGCGGCAGCGGCAGCGGCAGCGGCAGCGGCAGGAGGAGGAGGAGGAGGAGGCAGCGGCAGCGGCAGCGGCAGCGGCAGCGGCAGCGGCAGCGGCAGCGGCAGCGGCAGCGGCAGCGGCAGCGGCAGCGGCAGGAGGAGGAGGAGGAGGAGGAGGAGGAGGAGGAGGAGGAGGAGGAGGAGGAGGAGGAGGAGGAGGAGGAGGAGGAGGAGGAGGAGGAGGAGATGTGTAAGTTCCATGTTAGGATTCTTGACAGTCTGAGAAGCTACCAGAAAACCAAGCAAAGAGATCCTGGTTGGTCAAGGCACCGTGTCGATGTTCGAAATGTTTGCACGCCCTGCCGAAAAGCTCGCGAGGATTGTGGCATCGGTGAGGTTAACAAGAACAAGGTGATTGTTCCACCGGAGTGTTACAACTGCCACGTTGTCATTCCGGATGCTCACATGGTCCGTGTCTAGATAGTCGTCGCCTGAGCACTGAGCTTTTTGACATCTGATCATAGCAAACGGTAGCATCGGAATGGCCTATAACTAAGTGGGGCCCAAGTACTCCAGCTGCAAGGCTTGTTTCAGGCGCCCTGGTTTGGAGGACATTGCACATTGCTGAGGGCAGTCCCACTACACCCATTGCAACGGTAGCAGATTCTCTAGGCTGAGTATGATATCGAAAAAAGTTAGACTCTTCATCCCCACAGAGATTTCGCCAGCCTCGAGGAGGCTCAGAAACCCAAGAGAGATTGTGCCCAAAAGCAGCGCATCAAGCCCTCCCCATGCTTGCCAAGTTGCTTTCGATCCCATCCAAGACTGTGAAGTTCACAATTTGGTACGTCCAGGCATCAGGGTCTGCATCGGAGATGTTTGCTTGTACCAGATAGCCTGCGCCATAAGCCGGGGCGATGGCTGCAAATCTGCGATCGGGGCTGATGGCGATGTTCGCGGGCGTGGCGCCCTGAAAAGGGACTCGTTGGACCCGGGCCCTGAATAGTATCCTAAAGCCTACCTACCCTAAGAAAAACTCCTTGCATACATCCTACCTACCCTAAGAATTACTCCTTGCATGTATATATATACACATAAATATGTGCACAAAGAGCCAGTGAGTTATGATGCCAAATCCTGCTACAATATGTCCCAAGTACAAACCAAGACAATTCCTGGATGGGCATCCTATGAGAGCTCCTACAGAAGTACAAAACCTTGGCATGGGTACTTGGGTTTCCCTACCACCCCCCCCCCCCCCCCCCCCCCTTATGTACTACCCTCCCGAGGTTGCCCCCTTAAACAACCTCAGTTGGGCTTATAATTATCCCTAAATAGCTTTATTCTCGGGCGAACCTAGAGGGGGGTAGCAGGGGAAGCCGTGACCATGGGTACATGGACCCTGGCTGTCCAGCTCAATGGTGCGGACGACGGTCTTGGAAGAGACGTTCACGACAAGAAGCTGGCCGTCACCTTCGGCAATCTGTCGACGACTCGCAGCCCCAAGCCGTAAGCCCTCATTAAGCCCTGAACTCCGAAATTTAAGCCCTTAACAACCTCAACCCTAAACTTCCTAAACCCTAGAGCCTGGAGCGAAAATGGCCCTTCATGACTGTAGGGTACCGGCTTCATGTGGCCAAACCCTTCGGCTCCAAACAGAACACACAACGAAGGTGCGAGATACAGACTTGTAGGACCCGAAGTAGGTACTACAGTGCCTCTACTCAATCCCTGTTCCCCTAGGAAGAAAAAAGGTTCCTTTTTGTTCATATATAAGAAAGCCCATAACCCAAAAAGTAAAAAGGATCCCTAACACTGATCGAGTCTAGACTAGGAGGTTGGGTCGACCTTGAAGCGCTTTGAGAAAAACCTTAGCCATATAGGGTCCCTCTAAGACCCATTAAGGAAAATAGTACCTTTCGCTCACGCCCCCCATGTGTTGGACGAAGCTCCCTCCTGGAGAGCTTTCGTGACAAAAGTTTAAGGGACAGCTGCGCAGCGTCGCTTGGAGGTTTAAAGCATGGTCAATTTCGAGCCTTTGCAACTACTTGTTGCTTAAGAACCCCCCCCCAAAAATGTAACATATTCTTCCTTATTAAGGGTAATATAGGGATTCTTTATAGGGACTTATATTTTTCTATCCTTTTTGGGGCTCTGAAGCAAATAGTAGCCAACTCTAGGTCAACCTCGGAGATGACATGGTTTCGTAGCAGGGCCCTGAGCATGTCTCTCTTAGAAGCTGTTTCCCACTCAATGCTCTGAAGGCGGCGCGTGATGGGATGTCAAACGCACCAAATTGGCAATTAGAATCGGGATTAGGGGAAAATCTTGTGTAAGCCATGCCTGCAGGAAAGCAGAAATCCACCCCTCCACATTAAGTCCCCTGGCCTGCGCGCACGCCAACCAGGGCAAAATTGCCTTTGATGGCCACGGCCTCCGTGATTCCCACGTCCAAGGTGCCGTCGCTCACTGGGTTGTAGGCATCGGTGATGTCGACAAATCCGATGAGACTCTGCCTTCGATCCGCGTAGACAAGAGTGCGGTTGTCCGACGTCACGTCCATGGACGAGACCATCCTGTTGCTGCTTATGCCATTGCAGGTGGGGTCTTCCTCCTGGCACAGGAGGAAGAACCCGACGGGATTGAAGGAGCAGCTGCAGGAGACCGAAGGATCCTGGGTGGTACTCGTAGTACTCGTGGTGCTTGTGGTACTGGTAGCAGTCGTGGCACTCTCCGAAGCGGGACTGGCGGCGACCGGGCTGTCAGTGACCGTCCAAACCTAGACTCCCCTTAGAACCTGAATAAGAATAATATTTTTAATATCCTCTTGGGTTTTATATAAAGAAAAAAACAGATAATTCCGAAGGGGAATAGAGAAACGGCACCATGATGGTGATAAGCTTTCCGGGATCGCCGCCGGAAACGGCGTCGCCGAAGCTTTGGCCTCACCTCCGCAGGCGGCGGGTCTGTTGCCCGCACCTGAAGAGATGCTAAGCCATCATCCTCACACACTTCGACTTGTGCGGAAGAGCAGAGGACACACAAAACAACAAGGCTCACAAGGCGGATCATTGCCTCCTACCCTCGTCCTGACTTGGGAGATAGGATGGCCCCTGCAGCTCACACGTTTCGGCGGAAGTGCGGAACAAGCACTACCTACTGCAGTAGACAGGAATCCCTACGCCCCAAGGATGGCAACTCCTTGCAACTTAGGAATTATAAGGCTTGTCATAAGGCTGGTGATAAGGGCCCCCCTTCGTGGGTAACAAGTGCCCGAAAAATTACAGGTCCCCTTGTCGTATGATGAAAAGAAGTGTCTGGCTAGGCCGTGTCGAGGATGACGCCGCAGGAGGGTCAAAAAAGTCCCATACAAGTCCGACATTGCTTCGGGCAGAATCGTTTGGGAGCATGGACCATACTTCTGTAAGCTCTTAGGTTTCCATGAACAGCATTGAACAGCATTGTAATGACTGGCTGGTTCTTAGTAGGGAATGAGGGGAATGAGGGCCCTACATATACCCTTCAAGGGATTGCATAGGGCCCGGTTTAGGGTTGAGGGTTTAGGGTTCGGGCTGTAGGGTTTAGGGTTCAGGGTTCAGGGTTTAGGGTTTAGGGTTTAGGGTGAGAACCAGGGGGATGATCTGAGACCGCTGCCTGCTACTTAAGATCGCACCAGAACTTGCACAAGGAAGTCTTCCTCGCAGTGCAAGGACGTTTGACTAATGGGGTTTAGGGTTTAGGGTTTAGGGTTTAGATTACTGTTGCTTCACGGTGCGTTAACACCTGACGGATGCAGAGTGGCGGGGCAGACACCCGCGCCGAAGCGAAAAAAACAGACAGCCTATGAAGCCACAACGACAAGAAACAACAGTCCCACGATGAGCAGCGCACAGATTTTGGCTAGCCAGGTTTGAAGCAAGGTGGTCTGCCAACACAGTGGCGAAACGGTGAGAAGGAAGCGTGACGGTTCTCCAGCTGGCCGAGGCCTTGGAAGACTTTGGGCGGGAGGTTTTGGAGTTGGTTCCGACAAAGCCCCTACAGCTCGCCGAGGTCTCGGAAAACATTGGGCGGAAGCTCTTGGAGCTGGTTCACGTCCAGACACAGTTTCACAGTTTCTGCAGCTGGCCAAGGCCTTGTAAGACATTGTCCGGGAGCTCTCCAAGCAGGTTCTCGTCCAGCCGGATCTCCTGCAGCTGCCCAAGGCCTCGGAAGAGATTGGGCGGGAGCTCTCGGAGCAGGTTCTTGTCCAGCCGGAGCTCCCGCAGCTGGCCGAGGCCTTGGAAGATGTTGGGCGGGAGCTCTCGGAGCTGGTTCTGGTCCAGATAGAGTACCCGCAGCTGGCTGAGTCCTTGGAAGGTCTCGGGCTCCAGAGCTTGGAGAGCGTTGTAGCTCAGGTCAAGTGTCTTGAGTCGTACACTCTTGGCGGAAGAAGTCGTGGGGCAAGCTGCTGAGCTCATTGCTGCTCTCATTGCTGCTGAGCTCACTGCCCTCCTTGTGGAAACCCACCCCCATCCTTCCGAGAACGAGGGTCTCCAGCTCGGGCAAGCGCCTGAGGCCATGTTCACACGGCCGCAAAGGGAGACTGCGTACTCTTTGATCGCTAAGCAAATCCTTGCATGATGAGGTCTCTGGGCTTCTTTGCCCTTACAGGGTTGTGACTGTTGCCCATTATGTACAGTGATAACCTAACTTTCGAGCAGCTTGGCCCGCAGTGACCTCGATTTTGGAGGCCACCCAGGGTTTAGGGTTTAGGGTTTAGGGTTTAGGGTTTAGGGTTTAGGGCAGAGCAAGCTTACAGTCCCTCAGGCTCGGCCTAAGGCCGGCGGAGCTCAAGCATCGGTCCTACAGAGCTGCCCAAGCCCAAACCCCCAGTGGCCTCAGCAGCTTGGCAGGGATCAGGCGGAGCCGATTTTGGCCTGCAGATGTGCCAAACCAGCTGTCATCCTTTCGCATCTCCTCCCTGCCTTCTTCGAGCCGGGGCCAGAACCTTGAGCTGCTCCAAGCTGCGAAAGGCGTCGACGTCAAGTTCCGTCAGCTTGGCTTGGCCTGGGACAGGCTGCAAAAGGAACAAGCCAGGAAGAGGGTAGGAGCCGAACTACGACATGAAAACTCAAAAGCAGAAGGGGTGCAAGAATCGCTGTACTTTTTGTGCTCGATAATCGTAATACTAACTACTGTAGCACGCGGAAATCCCTGGGATGTGGGGTCTGGTTTGGCTGCATCTTGTACATTAGCAGGTCTGCCAAGTCGCCCAAGTCCAAGGACTGCAAACAACGGAGTCCTGCCACAGGGGGTCGCGAGAAGATCTAGGGAGGGGGCGAGCGGTGCGCCCGCGAGCACATGACGCACATGCCTTGCGCACACTGCAGAAGACGGCCAACCGGCGAAACTCATTGTGAACGCAAGGGAAACAACCATGAAACGACAAGGATGTGGAGAAGAACAGTCCCACGATGAGCATCGCACAAATTTCGGCTAGCCAGGTTTGAAGCAGCCTGTGAGAGGGGAGCGGCCCGGAGCGGCATGTCTGTCCCACCTCCACGGCTGCAAGTCAGAGCACGTCCGCCGGCATGGATGCCTGGGCGCAAGCCACATGAAACGCACTCTCACGCACCTTCGCTCGTCGCACTCCTCACACTCTCACGCTTGTACCCGCAGACAGATGCATGCTGTGCATCTGAGAGATCCCCTGCAAGTACGAGCTGCAGGCGTTCTCCGCCATGGCCTCGCCAACATCTGCCACATGCCACACACAAGCTTGCGCATGCTTGCGGCCTCCCTCTGTCGCAAGCAGGCGCGCTGCATTTCATTCTGCCTAGCACTGCACGTCGATGGAACTCTGATGGCAGAGGGGATTGCCTCTCAGCAACACGGTCCCGCGGCTGGGGATCGCATGGGGCAGCAGATGGCTGATGTTGTTGGAGGAGAGGTTCAGCAAATTCAGGTTGAGGCCTTGGAAAAGCTCCACAGGAAGCTCGTTCAGCTCGTTGTAATCCAGACGCAACTCCTCTAGCCCGCGAAGGCCACGGAAAACGCCTGCCAAAAGCTTTTGGAGCTGGTTCTGGTCCAGGAAAAGCCACCTCAACTGGCCGAGGCCTTGGAAGACGTTGGGCGGAAGCTCTCGGAGCAGGTTCTGGTTGAGACGGAGCCATGCCAGCCAGCCGAGGCCTTGGAAGACGTTGGGTGGAAGCTCTCGGAGCTGGTTCTGGTCCAGCGAAAGAAACTGCAGCTGGTCGATGCTTTGGAAGAGGTTGGGCGGGAGCTCTCGAAGCTGGTTCCGGTCCAGTCCCAGATCCAGCAGCTGGGTGCCTTGAAAGACATCTGGCGGAATCTCTTGGAGCTGGTTCTGCTCCAGGAAAAGCGACCGCAGCCGGCCGAGGCCTTGGAAGATGTTGGACGGGAGCTCTCGGAGCTGGTTCTTGCCCAGGAAAAGCCACTGCAGCCGGCCCAGGCCTCGGAAGACATTGGGCGGGAGCTCTCGGAGCTGGTTCTTGCCCAGGAAAAGCGTCTGCAGCTGGCCGAGGTCTTGGAAGAGGTTGGACGGGAGCTCTCCAAGCTGGTTCTGCCCCAGCCCGAGATACTGCAGATGGCCGAGGCCTCGGAAGATGTCGGGCGGAAGCTCTCGGAGCTGGTTCTGGTCCAGTAGAAGATGCTGCAGCTGGCCCAGTCTTTGGAAGGTGTCGACCTCCAGCGCGTGCAGCGTGTTGTGGCTCAGGTCAAGGGTCTTGAGCCGCGCGCTGGTGGCGAAGAGGTCGTGGGGCAAGCCGCTGAGCTCGTTGCTCTTGTATTCTACATTGTCGTTGGCATCCCGCACCCCCCCGAGGACGAGGGTCTCCAGCTCGGGCAAACACCTGAGGCCAGCTGCACAGGTAGACTGCGCATCTTTTACCCCCTCAGCACATGATGATCACCACTTCTTACATGATCAGGTCTCTAAGCTTCTTCTTTC